CTTTGAAACCATCTTTGTCCGGTTTAGCAATCCGATCAAAATAAACATGAAAATGTAACATTCTTGTCTGGTTTACAAATCCGGACACCACATCACTTTCTTTGTCATCCGGTTTAGATTAAACCGATCAATACACAATTCAACCTTTGAGCTGTTTAATATAAACCGGTCAACACACCGTACAACTCTTGATCGGTTTAACAATCCGGTAAATACATCACATGATTCTTTAAGCGGTTTACACATTATCCGGTCACCTCTTGCCCGGTTTAAAAACATAAACCGTTCACTTCTTGTCCGGTTTAATAGATATCCGGACAAAGCACATCCGATTTAAGTATCCGGATTACAATCCGGACACCACTTGGCCGGTATACACAAATATCATCATAAAATGCCTCCAAACACATAATAATCAGATCTAATTGCTTTTCAATTTGTATGAAGTAATTCATATTCAAAGCTCAAATACACTCACCTTTTAGAATTGAATATCAAAGCTTTTGTAGATTTCTTCTCCTTGCTGCAATTCTACTTCTTCAGAGAGTTTTTTTGAGAATTGAAGTATGTGTGTGTTTCTTTTCATAAAAACTATATATATATGCATACCCACAAGAACTTTGAGAGGCGGCTTAATAGCCGACCTCTCCCCCCTTTCTTTTTAATTATATGCTCTCTCACACACACACACATATCATACATACATATATCATATATATATATATATATATTTATAAATAAATATATACATATATATATATATATATATATATAACTAAAATGATAACCAGGCTATTACAGTTTAACACTTAGAATAAAATTCATATTTGAACGGATAACAAATCCGGACAACAGTCCGTTCAAGACTCGTCCGGTTTAAGACTAAACCGCTCACCGCTCACCACTCAACCGGTTTACCAACTCCGGTCAACAAACYGCTCAAGGTTTGTCCGGTTTAAACTAGTCCGGTCACTAAACCGTTAAAAGCTTGTCCGGTTTAAAACAATCCGGACAATAAACCTTTCAAGGCTTGTCCGGTTTAAACTTCTAATCCGGTCACTCTTTGTCCGGATAACCTTTAGACGAAATAAACATGCTTTCTTTTCAAATAAGAACAATACAAAGCATGTAATTGAAACCAGTAGAATCTTATTACAAAAAGGTTTAGAAACCACTCAYCTTATAAAACTTTTGACACCAAAATGCTAGAAATCGATCCCTTTTGAAACTGGACTCTTGAAACCAACTTGAAATCACCTTCTCTTTGCAAACCGGACAATCACTTCTTTAAAAGTCTCTCAATTCCTATCAAAATAGCAGGGGTTAACAAATGAAGAGGCTAAACCTCTTTTATACCTTCCAAATAAGGAAGGTCGGCTACACCGCCTTTCCCCACCCCTTATCCACCTCATGCTACCCACATGCATACTCACACATACATACATA